GCGAGCAAAGAAAGAAGAAGATGCTCACCTCATTTCCTGGTATAGACGCTTCAGTGTTCACACCAGATGTCGTGTGTGTAGCAGGTGTTTGGGTCTGGAAAAAGGGTGAAGGGTAGACTGTCCATAGCGAAGAAGAGGTATTGCAATTAAAGAACGAGAGTAAACCAATGAGAGAGAAAGAGCAAACAATCCACTCAAGTATTAACCCCTATTAAATATCTTAGTTGTACAGATTTGCGATACTTTTCGATTGCATGATGCATTTACACCTCCTAAATCATCCATGATAAAGTACTACAACTCGGCGACTATTTTATAGAAGTATTGATTATTCTTGAAAGTAGTTTCAGCCATATTGCGATTTTTTCCAAAATACTGTCATAAGGAAAAAGATACAAGGAAAGGGACTACATGGTTCGACTGAGACGATGATCTGTATAAATTACATCACTCACTTCAAGAGTATTCGCGCTTGATGCTGATGAAGGAGCTTCATCACTTGCTTCTACTGCAGGAGCGGATAAGAAATGATTATGCGACTCAGAGATCACCTCAAACAAAAGAATTTGATACAGTCGAAGTGGCAATACGAGAAACACATAAGACTCATGGAACAGATCACGTAACAAGAACGTGACACTGACCGCATTTGGCCTTTGATAATCCAGCTGATGCTTATGAAACAGAAGTCTAGCAACCCAATTTTGTATGGGACATGGAAGTCGATCAATCTTTGACGCCTGGAAAAATGCTGAAGCATATATGTCACAAGTGAAAATTTGAATAAGGGACCTGAAACCAGCTCCATTTCCATCCTTCTTTGCTGTTTTGCTTATTGATGTAAGCATGTATGAAGTCGTAACTTGAGATCTTCACTTTCTGGCTGATGTGCAGTGCATACCGGCCGTGTCGCAAACCACTCATTGCTGTCGACTGGGAGACGCTAGGAGGCTGCGCTACTCCCTATAAAAAGCAAATAGGATACACATAACAAATGACTCAATGGTTAGATGGATACAAAAAGTATTGGGAGACCTCTCAATAAAGGAAAGATTCATACAGAGCAACATAGCTAGTGAAATAACTTACTCCGAAACCTTTTTGTACTGCAGCCGCAGGTGGAAAACCGTAT